TAATTACAACCCGGATATATGCCTAGGGTCCCTAAGAAGCCCCTGTCTGGAGAAGCTCCCATATCCCAGTCACCTGGTGCCCCCATCCTGCTTTTCAGGCATTTGCTTTCAAAAAGTAAGCCAAATCCCAAAAGCTAAGCTGACAGGGGCTCTCCTTTGCAGGGATTGATCTTGCATGCCCTTCTTCTGGCTCAAGCCTCCGGTCCACCCTTGGCGGCAAGTAGTCTCATCCCGTAGTCCCTAACCCTCAGCTCCCCAAGACTTTAGTTGCCCTTCTTGCATCAATGCCAGAAAGCCTGATACCTCTCAACAGGTAAGAGTCCACGAGGGCTTCAGGTCCAGTCTAGTAGTTGCTCTCAATCCCCCCTTCTTTCCCTCCCTAACTCCCCCTTTTCTTCCGTAGATTTTCTCAAATGCCGGGATTGGCGCTGCCCCTGGGAGCTGTGCGGCCTAACAAGCTGAGCTTGGGCTTTGTGAAGGAATACAAGCTATGCGCGTTTTTCTGAAGGATTGTAGCAGGGGCTATCAGGGCTTTGGGTAATTTAGGTAACTTAGGGCTTTGGGGTCCAGGGCTTGGGGTTTAGGGGTATCAAGGCATACAGAGGAAATCTAGAGGAAGTACCTTGCCATCCAGTGGGGGTACCAGATCCACTTTGTAGTGTTCCCACACGATCCTCATAGTCACCCTGGAAAAGCTTGTTTCTATAATGCCCCTAAACCCTAAAACCCTAAACCCTAAACCCTACACCCTAAACCCTAAACCCTCAGCCCAGCCTGGGTGCCCTTTACAAGGTCCTCCCAGCATGTCAGGTTCCTAAACCGTGGAAAGCTGCCCCCTGGCCCCCTCAACGCCAAGCCCAACGAAATCATAAAGCCCCAAATCCCTAAACCCTAAACCCCAATCCCTAAACCCTAGACCCTAAACCCCAATCCCCAAACCCTAGACCCTAAACCCCAATCCCTAAATCCTGAACCCTAAACCCTACTTCCCCGGCTTAGGGTTTTCGGGCTGTCCTTGGTTTGGGGCAGCCAAGGAGCCCCTCACAAACGCCTGTGGCCAGTCCTGCAAGGAGCCCTGCGAGGAGCCTGGGGGCGGTTTGTGAGCTTATATACTGGTTTAGGGTTTAGGGTTTAGGGGTTTAGGGTTTAGGGGTTTAGGTTTTGGGGTTTAGGGTTTTTGGGTTTTAGGGTTTAGTTTTTTTTTGGTTTAGGTTTTAGTTTTGAGGCTGAGGGCTTTAGGATTTAGGGTTTAGGGCTCGTTGAGTACGTCCCTCATGCAGCAATGTACAAGGTCTCTAATGTGGCATGTTTAGCTTCAGCGGTGGGGGATTTGTTGATGTTAGTATGACGGGATTGGATAGAGATACATAGGGTGTGTTGGGATGTACTGGGATGTATAGCGATGTAGCGGTATGTAGGGGTATGCGGCTGGATTTATGAGATGTAGTAGAACAGCGGAGAATCAAATGAAAAGAGCATGGAACATGATTCGGAAATTTGGATCATAATGGTAGTCGGCTTAGGATTTCGGGGTGTAGCTTCAGGCGTTTAAGGCCTAGTGTTCAGGGTTCAAGGTCTGTGGTTTGAGGTTCAGCGCTCCCTATTGTCAACAACTTCCTGACTTCAAGATCAGACTTTTGGAAGATTGGTAGTGGATGGGGGCAGCAACTCGCAATTTCATAGGGGTTAGTCCTGTGTTCGCATCTAGCACATTCAAAAGGACAATGTGGAGGTTATGCAGGAAAACGGTGTGCAGTGTGTTTGCATCTGCTACATGTGGAGATCATGTGGGTAGTTCCCAAAATTAGGATCCCGTTTTGGTACACCTTTAATTTTACATGTCGTCATATAATCTTTTATCAAAAGGGGCCTACAATTTCGAGAACTTAAGCACGAGTTTTGTGGCTTCAGGCCCCGGAGGTTGATACCAGCGTTTATGATTGGGGTTTAGGGTTTAGGGGTCTCAACAATCATAAATAAGCATCATATTCTTTTGGGATTTACCCTAAATCCTAAACGCTGGCCGAATGCCATTGTTTAGTGACATTCATCCTCAAACCCGGGCTAGACTCGAACAGCGCTGTTCGACTTCTCAGTCCACCCTGTCTTTATACTCCTTAATTAATTACTGTCTGCATATAGGCTTTTGCATTTGGGTGAGAAGCCGTGAATCCTCTCTGGACCCTTAGCCCTAAAGTTTTTTTTTCTGAACTCTAGCTCCCAAACCGCTAGACCCCCTAAACACTTAAACCCAAACAACCTTACACCGTGACACTCGCCCCTAAATTCCTAGCCCCCTAAACGTTCAAACCTAAAAATGCTCCCATCCAGGAGTCTTCCGGGGACTTTGCTTCCGCTCACAGGGCAGGGCGGCACACCCGTTGTCAGCCCCACCAAGGACTGACACCCTAAGCTCCCCAAAGCCCAAAACCCAAAACCCAAAACCTCTAAACCCCAAACCCTCAGATCCCTAACCCCAACCCAAGCCCTACAGGCCTAAACTCCTTAAGCCAGAGCCCCTAAACCCCTCCTAAACCCAAAGCCCAAAGCCTAAGGCCGAAGCCCTTCACCCCAAATACGGTAGTAGTATCCATTTTCTTTTAAAACCCGCGATACAGCCCTAAATAGTCTCTATATAGCCCGTATACAACTCCTATATACTCCCTATATAAAAACCAGGCCCCAAACCCTATAAATCCTAAACCCTAAAACCTTACACCCTAAGCCCTAAAGCCGCACCCCAAACCCCAAACCTCAAACCCTAAACACAAAACCCTAAACCCCGAAACCCCTCAACCCAACCGTGAAGCCAAAGCACCGAAGGAGGAGGCAAAAGCAAGTGCTCCCAGCCCAAGCTTCGATCTCAAGGCTGGGGGTTTTAGGGTTCAGGGCTTAGGGGTTTAGGGTTTTGGGGTGTAGGGGTTTAAGGTTTAGGGGTTTAGGGGGTTTAGGGATTGGAGGTTTAATGCTTGAGGTTTGGGGTTTTGGCCAATGGTTTAGGATCCAGAGTCTAGGGGCTTCAGGTTTAGAGTTAGGTTTTGGGTCTGGTGTAGAAGGGTTGGGGTTTAGGGTCAAGAGTTTGGGGTTGAGTTTTGATGCCTCTCGTCATTGAGGCTTGCAGGGTTTACAAGAGGGTTCGGGACCCTTATTGGTGGTGCTGACTGGCCAGAGCCTCTTCGTCAAAGATACCTAACCCTAGGCCCCTAGATCCCTAAACCCTAAATCCCTAAACCCTACACCCCAAACCCTAAAACCCTCAACCCTAAATCCCTTAACCCTAAGCCACAACTCGAAGCTGAAAGAGGCGCCCATGAAATCCAGAGGTCCATAGTGCCTGCCGCCCCAACGACCGACAAATAATTCGGATCTTGAAGCTAGAGATTGACTTCTCCTGCAGCTGTATCTTGTGATAAGCTTTATGATAATGTAGACCCATGATTAATAAACCTCCTCCCCTGAATAGGGATTATAGTAGGAATCCGTATATTAAGCCCCTTAAAAGGAGGGGATATATTAATCATGGGTCTACATTATCCCATGTAGTTTCTAAACGCTTCAGACGCTTCCAACGTCATGAAGAAGAAGGAGGCCATTTCCAGGATCAGGGACTTGTCAAAGCTGAGGATGCATTGGGATGGCCTCAGAGGTTTGTCTCGAGCCTCCTGCCCCCTGAACCCTAAACCCTAAATCCTAAACCCTAAATCCCTAAACCCTAAACCTAAACCTAAATCCCTACACCCTAAACCCTAAATCCTAAACCCTAAATCCCTACACCCCCAAAACCCTAAACCCCTAAGCCCTGAACCCTAAATCCCTGAGCCCTAAACCCTAAAGACTTCAGCTAGATGCCAAGGCTCGAGCAAGCAGAAAGACTCCCAAATCCTAAGCCCGAAGCTCTGCAATCCCTGGTGCAGGTCGAAGAGGCCTTAAACACAGCTTTTTTGGGATATAGCCCCCCTATAAGTAGATAGAATATGTGGTATGTGGAGATCCTACTATAGAACACCCAGAGCTATATTCTATCTACTTAAGGGGGACTATGGGGGAGAAGGGATTAAGATGCCATGATTGGGGCTAAGCTACGGATCCTACTACGAACCTCTTTTCCAGGCCTTGATCCCAGATCACATCGATGAGGACATTTTCGCACGGTACGACTTCGATGACAAGGAGCCGTATCAAAGCCGAGATTCTGATGGTTAAAGAATTTCACGTGTAGAGCTTGTTTTGGCCTTAAGCCCGAAAACCTTATGCTTCCCTATCACCCTTCTAAAGAGACTCTCAACCAATCTAACCAAGATCATTGGCAAGATCTAAGTAAGAGCCCGCTCCCCTCTTTACACACGTAACAACTCCTGTACAGACCCTCAACCATAAAATATCAGTTTTCTTGTTTTCAACACCGGTTTTGGGGGCTGTGAGGAGCTGGGCACCGGTGGATACGGACGCGTCTACCTCGCGAAGGACCGGAAGATGGCGGACCGCCAGGTCGCCATCAAGAAGGCCTACTGGGTACATCCTTTAAACTGGTTAGCGGGATGTAGAGGCATGTATAGGGATTCATCAGGATGAAGAGGGACACACCAGGATGTACATATCTGTATAACTATTCACACACATAGGGCCATCTAGGGATATCCGGATATGCAGGGTTTAGGCTTTAGGGTAAACAACTGCCCCTGTAGAAGCCTGAATAGGGACCCCACAGAATCCCTCTGTTATGCCCTGAGAGGCCCCTGAGTGAGTCTTGATTGGGTTCTTCATGGTTTGGGCTTTTAATTTTCAGTTGCTTCTACAAAAGTAGGGATGAGGTTATGTACATTGTCGCGGCATTCTACTTCTTGCATACCAAAAACAGTCAGAATGAGTTGTAACTCCTGGGATTTGAAGACCGGTTCTGCTTAATGCCACACAGCTGGCCTGTCCAAGTTATGTCTCCTTGTTGAGAGGTATGGCTTAAGGCTTACCGCTTGAAGTGCACTACCTTGTCTGAGGCAGTGATGCTCGACGGAGACATGAGGGAGAGCTTCCAGCAAGAAGTGAGGATAATGAAGGAGCTTCCGTTGTTATCACTGTTTGGGTGCTGTGGCCATTCTTGCCCTGCTATCTGTTGTCATTGCCATGAGTGATGGGGTTTGACACTTGTTGTCTTGCTTGAAGGAGCTAGACCACCCCAACATCTGCCGGGTCTATGAAAGCTACGATCATGGTCGGCATGTGTTCTTCGTGATGGAGTACTGCGCTGGGGGAGACTTGTTTGAGCGCATACTGGAGCACTCCGGCTGGCATTGATTTTCAGCAGTCCCTTACATGATGGGTTCCAGGGTTTCGGGTTTAGGGCGCTGCCAGATCCACAAAGGGCTCACAGATGCGATGTTGGGGGAAAACTTAGATGTACCTGGACTCACAAAGTAGGTAACGAGGGCAAAACCCATAAGGTAGGAGCCAAGGATGCTATGATAGTCCCCCTAAAGTAGATAGAACATGGTTTTGGGTATATTAAAATAAGATCCCTATATACCCCATATTCTATCTACTTAAGGAGGACTATATTCTACATACTTTTGGAGGTTCATTTTTTTGAATTTGGTTTTTCCTCCAAGCGGTTACATCTCCCTATAGGCCCCCTATAACCCTTTAACATGAATTTGTAGTGTAATTCCCACAATGAGGCAGCTTACCATGTAGCAGAGCATCAAAAGGGATCCCTATGTAACGTTTGAACAGTAGATGCATTTTTAGTTTTGCAGTTCCCATTTCAGAATCCTATACACCCTCCCCAAACCCCAAACCCTACATAACCCCTACAGCCCCTTAAGCACGGGGACCTCCCAGTCCTAGGAACCCAGAACCTTAGAACCTAAACCCTAAAATCTAGATTCCAAGACCTAAATCCTAGCCCTAAACCCTAAAACCTAAACCTTAAAGCTAAAACCCTTCGTAAACCCTAAAGCTGGCAGATTCTGAGGCAAAAAGGAGTCTCCGAAGCACAGGCTGCGGAGGTGCTCAGGCAGCTCGGGCTTTAAAAGTTGAAGGCCGAGGGGTTTTTAGGGGGCTTCAGGGCAGGGTAGGGTTAAGGATTTAGGGTTTAGGGCGAAGGGTTTAGGGTTTATGGTTTAGGGGTTTCAAGGGGCTTGCTATTTAGGAATCTCAATAAAGTTACCATACTATGGGTATATAGGGTTTAGGAATCAGGGTTTAAGTTACCGTAGTGCGTTTAGGGGGCTGGACCTTAAAATCAGTCACCATGAGAGTGCGGAATTCTTGAAGCTTAAAGCTGGCAATTTCTTAGCAAGGCCTGAAAACTTGAGTGCTGACCAAAAGCTCCCGTTCTTAAACCCTGAACTGCCCTAAACCCTAAACCCTAAACCTTTGAAGAAGCCTGAATCACTAACAAGGTCATTTCCGCAGAATCTTCACATGATTGCCAAGCCCAAATTCCAGCTACGTAGGCCCTACGCTGAGCCATTGGGCCATGCCCGTAGACCAAGTACCCTGGGCCCTGCCTTACCTAAACCAGGCAGGATTACTATTCTGGTTTTGGTGGGAGCACATAGGTTGATTAGGCACATTGGTGAGTGTGTATGCGGGATGTCCATACCCGAAAGCAAGACCATCGGCCTTCAGCAAGGAAACTGTGGGAGTTGTATGGGGTCGTCTGAGAATGACCTCGACCACCAATGGCCTTTTTTGAGATGTATTTGGTCACGCGATCTTCAAACAAAGGATATGGATCATTGAGCTGTAGCAGTTACGACAATGGGTAATGGGAGTCATAGTATCCTCTTAATAAGAACCAGTTAAGGACAGCTACTGTAAGGGGGAATGACCAAACCCTAAATCCTACACTTTAAATCCAAAACCCTAAACCCTGACTCGTAAACCTTAAACCCTAAAGACTGAACCCTAAACCTGTGAGGGGGCATGATGCAAAGTCTTGACCTTAACTTGCGTTCCAGCACCGTTTAAGGCAGGTGGCATCCGCGCTGAAGCACGCCCACGGCAAGGCTGACAGATTTACGGTTTAGGGTTCAGGGGTTTAGGGTTTAGGGGTTAAGGGGTTCAGAATTTAGGGTTTAGGGATAGGGACCGAGATTTATGCAAGTCTTGCTGCAAGATTTCAGGAGCTTTTTGTCAAGGAACCCAGTGAAAGTTTGGGAATGTAGGATTATTCTCGGATCCGCGGTCCCTCCAAACAGAACAAATCTAAAAGGAGCCTGGCTTCATATTCTTACTATTGTTACTGCTAGTATTCTTTTTATTCTGAGAACTAGTACCATTATTAGTACTTTTATTGCTATTATTGTAACTCGTATTACTGTTATCATTGCTATGACTAGTTTGTGACCTTTGAGGCTGTGCCATGGTTTTTTGCTCCTCAATCTGGTCTATTCTACTGGTGGTTAGTTAGGAACAAAGGAATACAATCCTTACATAATCCCTATAGAATATATTCCCTCATTCCCTACTAACCCACAGTAGGTAGCATTCTTAATCAACATCCTTACAGTCCGTGCCTCGTAGTTGCCAGCCGCAGTTGTTACTTGCAACGCGTCAGTTTATAGTCCCCCTGAAGTAGATAGAATATGGCTTGGGATACATTAGAACAAGGTCCCCATATACCCCATATTCTATCTACTTAAGGGGGATTATGTGCTTGAGCCTGCTTTGAACCACATCTTCCAGGACCCGTTCTGGATCTTTAGTTCGTTTATCAAGGGGTGAAATGTAGGTGTCCCGCTACAAAGGCCTGCGCCCTGAACTCGAAACCCAATCGAAGAGTGAGACCCCGAGTCCGTTGAATCCTGTAAGCTTTGAGCCACCCAATTTTTCAGATCTACTGGTTTCCTGTTTGGGAACTGAGATTAAGTTGCCATAATGGGTATATATATATATATAGAGTAACCAATAGGGTTTCCCCAATATGGTAACTTCAACTAAGTTCCTTAACAGCAACTCTAAACCCTAAGCCCTAAACCCTAAACCCTAATAAGCACCAGGGCGTCGCCCACCGTGACCTCAAGCCTGAGAATGTGTGCTTTTGCTCGGAGGACGATCTGGGGGGTTTAGGGTTTAGGGTTTAAGGTTTTAAAGCCCCCGGCGGATTTTAGTGTTTATAGGCTAGAGGGAAGATTGAATAGAGTAGTAGAGTGAGGACTGTCCAGGGTGGCTCCAATCTTTTGTATTAATGCTGAAAGTTCATGTTTCATACAGAGATATCTATCAATCATATGCTGCCAGGATATGAGGTGTGCTGTAAGGAGAGTGTCTGGGAGACTTTCAGTATTCAGGTCTCATGGTGGGTTTGCACTTGGGGTTATAATGGGATAATGGAAAATAAAATGGAAACTATTATAATGGAGAATCAAATGGAAAATAAAATGGAAAATGAAATGAAAACTGGGGGAATATAGGGATTTAAGGACAAATACTGAATGGCTCCAACATCGCCTGTCTAGGTAGAAGTGTTTATCGCACTGGTTGGCATGCTAGCAGGAAGCTCCAGTGTGTGTGCTGGACATCCGTAGCTTTCCCTTAAGGCGCCAAGCTGCATATAATTCGAGTCACCAGAAACTATGAAAGATTGAGAGAGAGAGAGGGAGAGGTTTATATATGTACATCTACACACACATATATACATCCACATACACTTTTGTGCGATCCTTGTTACGGCCTCCGCCGTTTCAGAAGCTCAACTAAAAACAGTTTTGTTTGCCATCTGCAGGACCTTGAAGACACGCGCGTCAAGGTCGCCGACTGGGCCTCCACAAACACACTCCCGAATTTTAGAGGGGTGAATATTTTTGGGAAGAGGACACCTTTCTTGAAGCATTCGGTAGGGGAATTCCACCATTTGTGCCTACATCTCCGGGCCCTTGCATTGTTGACCACTGTACAGGCGCTTTAGTTGCTGGGCTTCATCCCACTAGCCTGCAAGCGCTAATCGTAAATTCTGGATGCCGAGGTAATCGGTCCTGAGACTCAATACCTCAGCCCCGACATCGCCAGCCTCCGAACCGTGAGCCATAGAGACGCAGAGCCCCAAATGCACAAACCATGCGGGCTGAAGCCCTGAATAGGTCATCGACTGGGGCCTCGGCTTCTACTTCAAGCGCTACCGCATGAACGCGGCCGTGGGCAGCGGAGCCTACGCCGCCCCCGAAGTGAAGCAGTCGGTTCGTGGTCCGGGCGGCCGAAAGTAGGGTTTTGGGAATTTAGGCTTCTGGCATCTGGGTGCGTGTGCTTACATATTTTATCCTTCTCGGATAGTAGCAGTAGAAGGGTGTTAGAGGATCGGTTGGTTACTTTCGGAAATAGGCAGCTGATCAAAGAGGAGGGTAGAGATAGGTGTCTGGAGGTGAGACCGGAGGCTGAACAGGGCTGAGCCGTGCAGCAAAGCGGCAGAGACGCTCAACCCTAAACCCTAAGCGAGTCTGACATACCCCTATGCGCATAAGCTACATGCAGTCCTGCAAAACGTTCGAGATACTACCAGAGAATGGAAGAGAAGGTTTGACCTGCACATAGCTGAAATCATATATATATATATACATATACATACACCAACAGTAGAAGCTAAAACATTATCCTTGGAAAGGAGCAGAATCTTCTTATGATCCTTATCTAGCCGACGAGGTTGTTGGGATACTACAAATCTGAGACACCTTGAAGTCTTAAATTCAAAGCCCCAAGCTCCCAACCTTACCCTAAACCCCAAGCTCTAGACCCTAAACGGCCCTAAATCCTGAAGCCTTCTAAATCTGAAGCCCTGTGCAAGTAAGCCTACCCTAAACCCCAAACTCTACACCCTAGACCCTGAACCTTCAAAACACCAAAACCCTAAACCCTAGACGCCAAACCCTAAACCCTAAACCCTAAATGCATGTGCTTGAGCCTTAGCTGCCTGCTCTTTTCCTTGCTCCGCTATGCTTGAAACACTGAAGGGTGGAGGTTTTCAATGGTAGCGCCGCCTCACTCCCTGGGATGGCTGATCACAGTTCGGGCTTTTGCCTATGAGTTTGGATAGACCTTTTGTTTTCATTGCACCTGCCTATGTGGGCTTTCCATGCAGTTGGAAAAAGGTGCGGCAAAAAAAAAAACCTTAAATCCTAGATCCTAAACCGTAAACCCTAAATCCCAAACCCTGAGCCCCAAACCTCAAATCCTAAATCCTAAGCCCTAAATCCTAAACCCATAAAAAACCCTAAATCCCAAACCTTAAGCCCCAAACCTCAAACCCAACAGGCCGGGTCTACACCAGCGCCTGCGACCTCTGGAGCCTCGGCGCGATGGCCTGTGTGATGCTTACAGGCAGAGAGAAAGACATATGAGGGCTTAGGGCTTAGGGGTTTAGGGCTATATAGGATGATATATAGGGTTTAGGGTTTCCCAAAATTAGAGGTACCATTTTGGGAGTCCCTATAATAAAGACTACAGTCTTCTGGGGATATTGGGGTCCCCCCTCTTTCGGGAAACTACTATATAGGGATGGGCTCAGGGTCTAGGCCTTCGGCTTCAGACTTTGCGGTTTGTGCCAGGCTTTTCGTTGGCATTGCAAGGTTTAGAAGAGGCTTGACGCATCTTGTCTGTGGTGATGAGGGGCTTAACCCGAATCCCTAAACCCTAACCCCTAACCCCTAAACCGGCTGTAGAGGGACTAGGCGGGGAGAAGGAGAGCTCTACTTGGGTCAGAGTTTTGGGTTTAGGGGTTTTGGGTCTAGGGTTTCGACTTAGAGCACCTGCAACCTCAGTGATCCCCATTATTCACCTGCTCACGGAATTCCCCTGACCCTAAACCCTAAACCCTAATGTAATATAGTTCACACCACCGACCGTAAATCCTAAACTCCAACCCCTAAACCCTAAACCGCGTAAGCTCTTTCAAGCTTCATGGCAAGACTCCGGTTTGCCCACGTTCCAAGCCCTAGCGGTCCCTAAGGTTATATGAGCTACAGTCAATATTTCCCCCATACACTTAATGGACATGGGCTCCTTGTTAGGGATTTCTTTAGGGCCGATACCTAACTACCTGAGGGACCTTTACTTACGCTGGTAAGGGTCCCGTTTTTTGGAAGATATTGGCAGTGTCTTCTAGAGATTGTGAGGGCTTGGTACCAACTATGGAGGGGTTATATGGGGACTATATAGGTAAGCCCACCAGAAGAGCATGCAACGAGGCCTGTTTGCCCAGCGGAATCTTTGATGGTCACCTGTTTCCTAAACCCTTAACCCCAAGACCCTCATCCCTGAAGGTTTCGGTGTTCGCACACATGTTACTCGAAATAGCAGCAGCCTTTGAAAAAGGTAGTGTTTGCGTATTTGCTTCTTCTTTACGTACGTGTCCCCGGTTTTATACCCCAAACCTGCGGTGTAGTTGATTTGCTTACAGTTGCATGCCAGTTGTGGTGATCTTTCGTGGGTCGGAGGTGTCCCGAATCTGTCCAGCTCTCCTACACGTCTTGAACCCCAACTTTTAAGCTTTGAAGTGCCTTGAAGCCGCAAAACCCTAAAACCCTAAACCCCTATTCTCGAAACACTAAAGCCCTACGCCCAAAACCCTAAAACCCTAAACCCGAATGTCAGAACACTCCAGCCCTAAACCCCCGCAATTGGAAACCTAAGCTGTGGTAGGCGAGCCTCCCTACTATGGTGGGAATGCCTGCGCCGAGGTAGGGTGACAGTACCGTGTATGAGCTATAGTTCAAACTCCTTAATGGGGGCTATATAGGGGATCATATAGGGTCTAGCGTTTAAGGTTGAGGATTCAGGGTTCAGGGTCTAAACTCCTTAAAGGGGGTTGTATCGGGAATTATATACGGAGTATTACAGGGGTTGTTAAGAGGTATACTAGGAGTATAGATTCCAGTAGAGCTCATATGGGAGCGCTCCCCCAATATGGTAGCTTTATGGGATATTCATTGATAGGGGTTGAGGGGTTGGGGCGGGGTGATTGGGCGAGGGATTACACGCTGAATAATCACCGGTTTCATTCGTTTTTCATTGTCCTGCATAGAAGGTGAAAATGGCAGGTCCTCTTAGAGTTGCACGTGTCCACGCAAATTCAACATGTGTAGACCTGGTTTGGGGCTTTGGGGTTCCGTTGATGATCACTCTCTACAGTCTGTGTTTGTCCTTAGTGTAGGTATGTCAAGGCGTGGCACCTTGGCTGGATCCCCGCACTCAGCATGATGTTGCTCTGGGTATCGTGCTTCATGAATCGGCACAAGGTTTTACTTGATGTTGCTGCAGCGCTTGATAGAACAAACGCCCCAAGCTTGAGCCCCCCTTCAACCCTAACTCCTGTCCTTCTGAGCATATTATAGTATACTGTACTATAGCTTACTAGCCTTTATTATAGCTTCCCATAGTTTACTATAGCTTCCTATAGTTTACTATGGCTTACTATAGCTTCCTATGGCTTACTATAGCTTACTATAGTAGACCATTTCCAGGAACAAGACTTCGAGCCGCACGGGCCCATCTGGGACACCATCTCGGCAGATGCACGGTCCTTGGTGACCTCGCTGACGAAGCCCGGATGCTGTTAGCCTTCGGGGTGACAAAAGAGCTGCTATAACTGCTACATACTATTAGATAATAGAAAAACTATAATAGCAAACTAATATATCATAATATGCCATAAGAGTTTATGGTATACGAGTTTCTCTACAATATTATACCGTAGTATTCCGTTTATACTATAGTATGCTATGGTATACATTTATACATGTTAGCAGAAGAATTGGGAGAGGGGAGAGCTTTCCTTCAGGGTGTCTGGCCTAAGGAATTCGATTAGATTGAGGCCTGAGCTCCACTCTACCCGGTCCATGCTGGCTTATAGTATGTTATCATATTATAATAGATGATGATATATTATTTCATACTAATATATATATATATACATAGTAAATATATTGTAGTATGATAATAGAGCGCACAAAAGAAGGGTGACGTTGAATGCTTCTCCCTGATCATTCTGTCCACACATAGATTAGGTTGGAAGGTAGTGTTGGTGGGTCAGAGATGTTTCCCGCTGCCTCGCATGGCAGAAAACGCGCAGACACTCTCAACCCTCGTACCCTGAAAAACCACCCTTAATTAACTCTTTCCCCTTCACGCCTCTTCATCAAACCGAGCCCCTTCTCCTATCATCCTCCTCTTTTGAAAGTATGGTATACTATAGTATACGATAGTGTACAATGGTCTACCATAATATGCTCTGAGGAAGTGGGAGCCATCTCACCGCCCCAGCGCCGAGGAGGTCTTGGGCCATCCCTGGCTAAGGCACGCCCACGAAACCTGGGAGTTTCCGAAAAAAGTACGTGCAGCAGTTGAGGGTTTAGGGTCTAGGGTACTGGGCTGCATCAGGAGTGTTGGAGGTTATAGAAACTCCAGTCTAGACTCCTCAAAGGCTGGTTATTTGGGAGATTATATAGGAGACCATTTTAGGTCCTATTAAGGGGGATACTATGAGCTTAGATTATAGCTCATGTAAGAGTGGTTGCGGGCATTTCAGGCTTCTGGGTTTTTCTCAAGTTCCTGCAACCCTCCCTTGGGAGGGATGCGTGGTCCATAGCGGTGATTATGAGAACTACAGTCTCGGGATCTCAGGATGTTGTTTTGAAGTTATGGGAACACACTTGGGCTACTACCTCAAAATCCGGCTCGTTGAGGGGTATGTCTACCAGGCAGAGTTGTCAGAGCGAGGAGAGAGTTTGAGAGTGCCTTCGGGGAACTCATGAGAAACAGTACTCAGTATTTCAATACAAATAGTGGTGGTGCTGGCGGTGCTGCTTGTGGCATCAATGGTGGCGGTGGTTCCGGCAATGGCGGCCGCGGTGGCTGTGGTGTTGGCTGCCGTGTTGTCTGCTGCGACTAACCCTCCACGGCAATTTTCGCTAAGGAGGCATCATGACAGGATAATCCACACATGTCGTGTACCTCGTGGACATTCCGATCACCCTTACATCCGAATGCAAAAGGCGTCATCAATACTCCCCTCTATAAGCTCTAGGACCATCCTTGAAACCGATACTCTAAGCCGGTTGGGGCCCGTGGAAGGAAATTCGACGAACAGCCCAGCATCATGAGCTCCAAGACTCAGGTTCTCAAGAATCTGCAGCTTGTCACAGCAAAGGCACAGAAACTTGAGTGGGGTGTCAATTAGTACGTGTATTACTACTAGTACTGTTGTAAGACAGGGTTTCAGAAGATCTGGAAGGTCACTCCGGTCACAATGGTATGGACCGGCGATTCTAGATTCGAAGTAATCCCCCAATATTAAACCCCCCCACTATTAAATTCTCCCACTGCCATATCATATACCACAACGGGGAGTATTTAACATTAGGGGTGGGGGGGCGTGGGGGGAGGGTTTAATAGTCGGGGGAGGGGATTAGTTTCCATTGTGCCTTTCTAGAACCCGTGCCTTGAACAAGCTCTCGTAAGTTACTCGACCTCGTGTGACATGTCTGTTGCAATATGATGCCGAGATGATCCTTCCGCGCTTGGATCCTGGGTAAAAAAATCCTGTTGATAATTGTAGTTATGACTTGATTATGTATATTCGCGGGGCGTGGCTATAGCTGAGCTGTTAGCCACAAACTGCCATTGCGTTATGATTACCTTCCTCCAGGTAGGGCCTTACCCTGCCGAGTTGATGTTGAAGCTCTCTTATGAAGGCGATGCTCTGCTAGAGTCTGATGAAACAGTGCTATGTTCGCCGTCCCTTTGCCAGTTTCTCTCTTTCTTTTAAGAATAAAGAGTGCTGGCTGTTATGTACAACAGCTCTTTTGCAGTGTTCTGCCTCACGAAAAGACTGAGGCGTCGCTTCAGCAATACATCTACCTTCCTCTCGCTTTGCGCCGCATCTGTGGCACAGCAGCTTTCCCGACGTGGGCTCAAGGAGCTCGAGCAGGACCCCATTTTTGGGGGGTTTGCTGCGGCATTGTTTGCGTGTGCCTTAGAGGCTTTTGGAGCTGTTTCGCTTTGTTGTAGCAGCTGTCAGTCGCTCACCATGCTGCTGGCCATTCCGTGCTTAGATTTCAACTGACAGGAAGTTCTGGGTGTCACCTCTTCCGCTCTCATCAGAACACATTCTCCCCAGCACAAAATTCACCAGAATGGTGCAATCCTTTCGGACTACTGCGTAGCAACGGGCACCCTTCCAGATGCAGGTGTGGGCATCTCTCCAAAAAGCGGGAGGGGATTGGTGAACCTTGCAGGTCTTCAAAGAGCTGGATGCAAACGGCGATGGCATACTGGAACTGGACGAGGCCTTGTTTTAGGGGAGGTCCTGTGCATGTTTGGTCTAGGATTTAGGGTTTAGTTGCTGTGGAAAGACCCTTCTGGGGTGACCTGAGCCCATCGCCCCACAACAGGCTCAGGACCCTTGGGGGTGCAGTCGCCAACCCTGAGAGACCTTGAAGTTGAATGCCTGACACTTGCCTGCAAGGTCAAGACCTACAAATGCAGCTACACCCTCAATCCTAAACCCTAAACCCTAAACTTCCAAGGCTTCACCCTCAAACCTGCAGGCCTGAACCCCAAGAAGTTTGTTGAGTGCTCAATTCCTGTCCCGACCTTCACGTCGCAAGCCCCATACAGGTTCTTACTAAACGCATCGTGCAAAGCACAGTCATAGAGTCTTCATATCCTCAGCAACCCCTGTGGAGTCCCCGGGCTATTCAAAGCTTCAACCCTACGTCTTGATACGACTTGGGGCAGACGGTCTTGCGCTGAAGCCTTGTGCAGGTTCGTGCTGGCTTTCAGAAGATTTTGGGCCGAGGCAGCGCGCAACTCGCAGCCATGATGGAGAGTAGTAATGGTAATAACAGTACTACTGATAATACCAATAATGGTAGTAGGCTCTCAATTTTGGGTTTTTTGGGCGTATACTGTAGGGTTGCTTTAAAGGGGCTTATCGGGGTTCTAGAGGAAAGTGGAGGAGGATTTGGGGCTTCAGGGTTCAGTGCATAAGGTTTGTGACCAGTAAGGCCTGGGTTGTGATGGGGCATTTTTGGGGTGCAGGGTGTAGCGTTTAAGGTTTTAGGATTTAGGGTTTAAGGGCATTTTAGGGTTGGATCTTCAGCTTAGACTCAGGGCTGCCATTCAGAGCTAAGTGCTGGGACGTAGGTATTAAGGATTTTGGGCTTTGCGCTGAAACCCTAAACAGCCCTGAGCCCTAAACCCTGAACTCTTCAACCGAGTTGGGTCTTCAATTTGGGCATTGGGTCGCCTATCATTAGTATTACGATTATTACCATCATTACTATGATTACTACTACTTTTTCCTTTATTATTACTAGTGTTACTACTATTATTACAATTCTTAGTATTGTGTAATTAAGGTGTATAGTATGCAGAAATGCAGATGGACCCAGTGGATTGCAAACTCTGAGGTTGGAAGTTTGGGGTTTAAGGTTCAGGGTTTAGGGTTCAGTGTTTAGGGTTCAGGGTTTAGGGGTTTGGGTTGGGTACTGCCCCCACCCAGTAACAGTCTATATTAGGGGTCCTATCAAGGGCTATATATAACCGTATTTTGATTATTATCCAACCGTTACTGAGTGGGGGCAGTATCCAAGGTTTAGAGTTTAAGGTTCAGGGTTTCATGTTTCCAGATCTGACGCCCTGAAGTGCTGTCAGCCCAGATCTGCTCAAACCTTGACAAGCTCCGGGTGGCCAAGGCTCTCACGGCTAAACTGCTAGACGTCCTTCTCTCCAGACATACGCGGAAATACAAATGTATCATAGAGCCACAATTGTCCCTGCATAGAAGTCAATGTTTAATTGGGGGAGTAATCCTTCGCATATCCCGCATCGTTCCTATAAAGCCACCTTTTGTTCTATAAGATCTTGAACAATGCAACATGTACCTACTGTCTCTTGGCCAAGGACGCTGGAAGAGATCGAGGCGTTGGCAAATACGTCCTGCTGTTTGTGTTGGGTACTTCATTTGTATTCTTTGGATTTTGTTTTTGAAGGTCCAGGGGCGTGAACTTTACAAGGTCTTCGATTGAGGCAATCTCAGGGATAACGTAAGCCTCCGAGAGGGCTCACACCTTTGCCTGGGTCACTGTTGGACATGCTTTCTGTTGGAGCTTCATATCGTAGAGTCCGATAAGATTCAACAATGGCGTGAGAGTAAGTTGTGATGGTTCAACACCATACCCGAACTTCGCAGAGTTTACATCACACGAATCATCTCCCTAGTATCAAGCCCTCACCCCTCTAATATTACATTCCCAACATATGAGCCATTGTCTAAACTCCTAGTATCTCCCTGAATAGCCCCTATAGCAGTCCCATATATAATCCCCGATATATACCCCCCTTTCCAGAGTTTGGACTATAGCTCATATTCTCGCATCCCGGTATACCGTTCCCTAAACGCTAAACCCTAAACCCTTAGCCCTAAACCCTAAGACCTAAACCCAAAAACAATTGGAATATTTGATATCAGGCCGCGCGCCTCCAAACTCCAAGAGTCCCTAGGAGCTGTAGTCTAAACTCCTTAAATGGGGGGCTTTCTGGAGGGGTTTAGGGTTTAGGGTGGAAACTCCTTAAGGGGGGTTATACAGGGGGCTACTATAAGGTTTATGATGAGGGATACTAGAAGCTTGGATTATGGCTCATATAAAAATGGAGGTTGCGCTTTTTGTAGCCCCGACAAGCCCTGAACACAACATGTACACCTCGGAAGGAGATGTTCTCTCGTTTGGACATTGATGGCTCTGGAGCGGCTAGATGAATACTCTGGTGGCCAACGGGCTTTTAGTTTAGGGTTTAGAGTTTAGGGTTTTTAGAGTTTTTAGGGTTTTTAGGGTTTAGGGTTTAGGCTTGGGGCTGTGGGGTTTAGGTTTCAGCGTTCAGGGTGTAAATGGGTTTAGGATGGGGTCCAGGTTTAGGGTTCCCAAAAGCCCCCGAGCCCGTCATGATCATTGCTAAACCTAAACCCTAACCCTAAAACCTAAACCTCTAAGCCCGGAGCCCTGCAGTTGCTAGTGGCAGCAACCCTACTCCCCTATGGCTGCCATAGAGCCCTATGATCCTACAGGCACTCTTTTTGTGAGAAGTCTCTGCTTAGGCCCTTTCAGTTTCAGGAGGGCGTGCTGGAGGGGGTAGAAAGATTTATTTGGATTATTGTGGAGATTATAGCCACTATGCTGCTACAGCCTCCTTTCACGGACTGATGGTTTTCCAGCATTGAGTATGCGATGGTTTTTGTGTCACACATATCCTTGTATACCTTCAAGGAGGCCTCCTTTTGCTTGCTGAGCGGGTATCATCTGAGGCCATCGACTACACAGCGCCTTGGCAATCCTCTTAAGGTGACGTAAAGACGAAAGTCTTCAGGGTGTTTCACAGGGGGATGAAAATCCAGACTCTTGGGCCATACAGGGTTTAGGGTTTAGAATAGAAGGACCAGAGCAGGGTCTCTCACAAGAAGTAGGGAGCAGCAGCAGGCTTAGAGGCGAAAGTACTAGTCAAATTATGAGGACCTCACTCGACCTGACCCTGAATGGTGGTTTCTATAAAGCGCGGTCCCCAAAGCTCCAAACCCTAAACCCGCAGCCCTAAACTGAAAACTCCAAACCCATTGGGAGCCCAAACCGAACACCCCCATGCCTCAAAACAGTTAACCTGAAGCCTTAAAACCTGAACCCTACGCCCTAAACCTGAAGCCTTAAAGCCTGAGGAGTTCCTGGCAGCTGGCCTTGGGAATCGTGTCAACAGCGAAGCACTGGTCTCAGCCAGGACTTTTGCTGTTGGGATCCCTGGAGAAGATAGGGATTTAGGGTTTCAACCGGGTGGGTGCGTCTTTAAATGATAGGTAGATGAATAATTCGATAAATAATATATATATATATGTATGTGCCACACATGCTGTGCAGGGATGTATGGGGATGTCTAGGGAGTATAGGGGGTATCTAAGCGTTCGAGGGCTGGGAAAGTTTACGAACCTGTCTCGGAGGTTTGAAGGTTTCAGATTTGGGAAGGGCTAGCGTGAAAACCTGAATCATTCCTCAAGAGAGGCCTGTGTCAAAACAATCCCACGGTTAAGAGGGACCTTATCAGCATCCCCAATAATCACGATACATCCCCACGTTCCCTAATGGCCTTCTGTTTTGAGAAACTTCCATACACTTCCCCTTTGCTCTTGACATGATAGCCGTCTACTTTGGGAGCTGCTAGTATGACAATGATTGACCCACGTACCTGCAAAATCTACCGTAGAAGGTTTCCAAGAGAGCCACAAGCACTCCAATGTTGCGAGTCTCTCTATGCACCTGAAAGCAGCATGTCGAAACAAAAAAAGAAGGACACTCCAGCCGAGAACATAATCTCGAGCTGAATGCGAGACAAGCGCACGATTTCAAGCCATCGAGGCGCAAAACGCAACGGCAGTTTTCCACTTCGTACGGGACGCTCCCTGGAGTGCAATCGCGAGCCCAAAATGCGACGACGTTCCGTGCCTGAACCGCGGAACCGAGCCAGCGCTCCGCGTGGCTACGTCAAGCATGTCTCTCTCTCCTCTCCCTCTCTACTCCCAAATCCAGAACCCCCACAAAGTTGGCAAACTATTTGAGGAACGGTCGAACTGCAAATCCTAAATGGCTGCGAATTGCTTTAAATCTATAATCCTCCACATCATCCTTTCATGGATCTCGCCAATCAAGATCAGCAGGTCCTGCCCACTTTCACAGAATCAAGCCGCAGCTTCTCCCTTCTCCAGTTGACTGAGGCCTTGCATGCTCCCTCAGGACATCTTTGTATGCTATTATAACTGCTATTCCTACTATGATTACTACTGCTATTATTACTACTCTTGCCATGATTCCGATTATTACTACTACTATTACTACTATTATGATAGTCTATTCTTATTATTAGTATTATTACTGCTGCTATTCCAATTGTTACTACTATTCCTATAGGTAATATTATTACCCTAAACCCTAAACCCTAAACCCCAAACCCCTAAACCCTAAATATTACTATTACTACCAGTTTCCCCCTCCTCCCCAAGAGAACTTGAGCCCAGGTAGAGGCCCTCTGGGCCGCCTTCAAGGCTAGTAGGAGCTTTGGGCTTCAGGGTCTTTAGGGTCTAGGGTTTAGGGTCTAGGGTTTAGGGTTTTGGGTTTAGGGTCTTGAGGGTTGTTTTACTTACTGGTTCTTAGTAGGGAATAAGGGAATATAATCCCTATATATTAATATCTATTCCCATATTCCCTACTAAGAACCGGTAAGTTTGGGAGTTAGGGTGAGGGATAGTAGTCCCAGTGACGAGAATATCTGGTTTTGGGTGTCATCTATATGATTTTGGGGCTTAGTTTTTCAGCAGGTTGGGTGGAGGAGTTGGGGTTAGGGCTAGGATTCAGGTGAGGACATCAACTTCTGGCGCACAAACTGGTTGAAAGTCTAGGATGTCTTTTCGGGGGCACTTTCAGATGATCTTCTCAGAATGGAGACGAGGAAGGGGATCCCGACGGACTATCGCACCAGATTTCATCCTCGAACCCCAAACCCTAAGACCTTAAACCGCCTCAAAACCTTCAACCCTTTTACCCTGAACCTTAAACCATAAACCCCTACACTGTGGCGCTTCTACATCTTTGGATTCTTTGTGCTGCGCAGCTGGTCATGGCCATGCACTGGCGTTCTTGGCTTAACCCTGATGAGTGAAACCTGTAGCATCTTCTTGAAGCCAAGGTCATAGCTATACTAAGAGTCGTGATTGTAGTACTAGTAGTAAGAGTAGGAACAGAAGTAACAGTAGTTGTAATAAATGGTAAAATAGGTTTAACAGTTTCATATTAAGAATAGAAACAATGGTTATGATTGTAATAATAGTAATGAAAGCAGTAATAGGCATCAAATGCAAAAGTAGTAGCAATAGTAATGGTAACAATCTTAGTAGTAGTAGTAGTAGTCGTCGTCGTCGTAGTAGTAGTAGTGGTAACAATAGTAATGATCGTAACAACAGGAGTTTTCGCAACAATTGCAATAGTAGTAATAGTAAGAACAAAATTCGTAATAACAGTAATATTATTAAGAATGGTAAAAATAGTATGATCGTAATACTTGTACTGCAGCATGAAGATTGGCCAAGGCCTGTTACACCTTCAGTTCACACAATGGCATGACCCATCCATGGCCCTTTACACTACCAGACGCCCTTGACCCCAACTCCATTGAATTTCAGTCTTCAGGCATTTGACGTTCACGAGTCGGACGGCAACATCACAGAGGTGCGCGGTCCGCACTTTAGGTCTTAGGGATTAGGGTATTACCGACGACTTGCTGTAGGGGGAAGCCCCAAGTGAATGTCTGTGCTGCTTCAGGGCATTGTGCAGACCTGTAATTATGGGGACATTCGAAGGGTTCACGGCAAGCACCCGTAAGATGATGTTTTGCTTTTAGTGGCATTATGGCATTGTCTAGTCTGCAGGAGCGTCAGGGTTCAGCTGTGTTTGCCCAACGACCAGCTGGGAGCTTTCCACAGTGCATGTCTCTCGGCCCCCAGACGCACATAGCAACGCAGGGGGTTGATTGAGTCTATCAGCCATGATTTCCCTGATCAAGGCTTCTTCCCCTCCTTTCCCCAAACCCTAAACCACACCGCAGGCAGAGATTGCCCATGTGCTGTACGAAGCAGGCGCAGCTGCAAGGTTTTTCTTCGGTCAGGATAGCTCCAGCGCCACAGGTTCAAGGAGTAGTAGTATTTCATGATAAGCCCATGTAGAGGACCAAAAGGGCTCCATGCCACATCTACCAAGAAGAGCCGTCTTTCACAGATAGCTGTCGGATGTTGCAAGCATGGAAATTTGAAGGCTTGTTTCGGTATAGGGGTGAACGTCACGTGGGCCACCGCGAAAGTTTCCGACAAAAGGAGAATCGGACGGGGCTGTAGGCGTCTCTTTTTGTTGGTTTTTGTGCAGCAGTTCTGATCCCCTTTTGCTAAACATCTTTCCCAGACAGACACACGTCCAGTGCAAGTGGAAGATGTTAGATGATGCGTGAGGATCAGCTTTTCTGAGTTCGGGAAGGCGCAGAGGGGCACCCAACCCATGACTATCTTGGGGCGTTTTCTCAAGATTTGGGGTAGTGTTCTTTGGATATGTGATATATATATACATACAAAAGAGTGTTTTTGGATGTATACATGCATAAAGGGAGACTTTTGACAATGCCCGCAAATCAGATTGGGGAAGCACGTAACTCTAAACCCTACAGCTCCGATGGCCGGCCCAGTTGAGGTGCTGGTCGTGTGTGGTCGGCAGACAAGTGCCAGGACCCATGAATATCCGTTGGGATGCAAAGGGCTTTATGTACTATAGTGTAAACTCCTTAAAGGGGGACATATAGGGGACTATATAGGGGAGGATTATAGGACTTATTAAGGGGGTACTAGGAGTTTAGATGATGGCTCTTATGGGGTTTTGGTTTAGTACATAGGGAATTTATGGAGGATACATAGGGCTATGTAGGGGTGTAGAGGGGTTAGCGTTTGGGGATTAGTCTCTCCCAACCTCCATGGAACGCCATGTGAAACAAAATCTTCCTACATACTACGTAAAGCGGACCGCTATAATCCTTTTTGTTGTCCCAGTACTTCCACATGGCTTCTATCCTAAGTGCATTGTATGGTGAGAAAGTGCCGTACGAGCACGTTTTCGAAACGGCAGTGGTCATTTGGGGTTGAGGGTAGTGGCATGAGGTCGGACTGCGCCTTGGGTTCTGCTTGAGTAGCGTTTATATTGGGGTTATATTTGGGTTATGAGATGTTCAGAGTACGCGCTGGCTTTAGCCTCAATAGGCCATGTCTTGGTAAAGGGTACGGCCTCTGACCTGTTCAAAGGAGCTTGCACGAGAAGTCGTGCAGCAGTTTGACAGCATCTCGGACCGCAAGGGTGCAGCGGTTTATGCTAGTATCAAGTGTCATTGTCAAACTTGTGGTTGTTCATGTCCTATTTTAATGCGGCTCCTAACTCCTAAGATTTCGGGTGCCCTAGACAAACCACAAGTTTGACAACCCCCACAGGATCGAACTTTCTGGATGATTAGTTTGGTGCGTGCTTTGTGAGATTGTCCGGGAGCATTGCTGAGTGCATTTGCAGGGTATCATATTGGAGGGCGAGATATCTAGATTCTACCCTGCGCGAGCGCCATACTCAAGGCTATCTCTAGAATTAACTTCCAAACTGGTATACTCGCTCTTCTGCAAGCAGCAGGAAAGCACAGACACTTCCGCCGCAAAACCCTCTCATTCCAAAACTGTTTGTTTTCATCTTGGGCCCGCCGAAGCCCTAAACCTTAAACCCCTTTATTCTTTGCCACCAGGACACTTCAAAGTTGCGGGTCTTTTTGAGTGGTTTTTGATCACAGGATTGCGGAGTTTAGGAGGCGTGGGGTTCTTCAAAATTACATGTTTCTTGAAACTACATGTCCCATGTCAGGTTCCTAGTTGTACTAGTGACTAGAGACGTCCGTCCCCCCTGCAGTAATAGCCCTTCAATATGGAGTTAATATGGCCCGAATCTACCTACAATAGCCTTGTGGAACCGATCACTGGGTCTGTTTGACCCAAACCAGAGATTACAGTATGTTGGGGTCTACAAGGGGAGCCTAGCTTTGAGACAGGCTCATAGGCATGGGTCAGGCATCGGTTTCCTTTGAGTCTGCAAAATTTTCTGCGAAATTTTGAAACACTACTAACAATCATGCTCCTTTAGGGGGACCCTGTAAGTTCATATGCTCCTCGTAAGACAACAGGAGAGGACCAGACAAGTTTGGCCAGGAATTTCGTGTAAAGTCCTGCCGCACCGTACTCTGCGGAGTTCCGCGGAGTTACGGACCCGCTTGTAGCTTGAGAGTCAATTCAAACAAGTCGACAGAACTTCTACACTCCGAAACTCACATGGAACACAAAGCCTGCAGTCAAACAGAACCGCAGTCCTTGCTGGGCTCTTTCCGAGGATAATTACCAGTTACTTTGGAGGGCACATGAAACAGATCCTCCCCTGCCCAGCCCCACACCGCAGGTCTCATGTTTTCAGCGGACAGCTGCCATATCAAGCAGATCGAAGTATGGGATCGCAGTGTGTAGATATCCTTCATTTTGGAGCCTGAAAAGTGAGCAGCACTTATCTCGCATGTTACTTGTATCCACTGCAGAACCGGGGTGAAAGGCATTTGCACTCTTGTAATGCAGCCTGCAAAGCCAGAAGGATCTTTTGCATCGCCTCACTGGTGCTTAAAGGAGAGTGGGGGGGGGGGGTCCGGGTGATGATCCTGATACAATTCCCATATATACCCATATTATAGTCCCTGTGTCCGCTCCCCCACTCCTTCTAAAGCGCCAGAACGACGCAAGGCCTAGGGTTTGGAGAGCGCTAAGGAGATGGAAATGGCTCGCTGGATTTTGATGAGTGGCTGGAGATGATGAAGCGGTGGGCATCTTACCATCGGGTTGGGTTATCAGGGAGTGGAAGGAGACAAAACCCTGAAGAAGGGGCCCGGCTAAACGTTATGAGAAACTTTGTTTTACCACAGGCTCCGTGCAGTAAGAGCTTTGGGTGTGGGGTTGAATGTTGAGGCTTTCGGGGCCTTGTGCTTACGCTCAGGATTGGGAGTTGAGGAATTCTGGGTTTGGGGGGCTTGCAGTGGAGGGGGTGATGAAAGCAGAGCCATAACGCATTGGATGCTGGGAATGGTGGTACGAAAGATGGCCAAATCTGTTCGGGTAGGATCTTCACGAGGAGATGCACAGGACTTCAGCGTTTGCTGCGCCAAACGGAATAGTTTGGATAAGTAAGGTACTGCCCCTACTCTGTACAAAGCGTAGTTATATATAGCCCCTATTATGACCTCTATTATAAACCGTTACAGGGTGGTGGCAGTACCCAATGGATAAGGCTTTTTTGTAGGGCTTCTGGCCCCCCACCCCTCAGCCCTAGACCCTAAACCTACATCCGAAACCCTAAGCCCTTAACCCTAAACCCTAAACCCTAAACCCTAGACCCTAAACCCAAAACCCTAAACCCTAAACCAGGGCTTTGCCTCCCCACCCCCGCCGGCTGCTCGTCAAGCCAAACTGGGAGATTCGTGTCTATTCATTCGTAACCGGGGTTGAGCAGGAGATGGAGTCAAAGTTTAGGGCTTAGGGTCTGGGGCTTAGGGTTTAGGATTTAAGGTTTAGGGTTTAAGGTTTAGGGTTTAAGGTTTAGGGTTTAGGGCTCAACCCCAAACCCCATATATACCCAAGAGTATATATATATATATAGGGTCATATAGGGGTTATATAATATAGGGGTACATAGCGCCAAGAATGGAGAAGCAAACGGACAAAAACATTGAACATGAAACGACTGCTGGGGTTATATAGTGGTTTATATAAGCTGTTGTCAAAATTAGCCGTATTAAGGGACCCTTGCCAGTGGACATAGGGGTCCCTCTTGTAGTTTAGTATAGTCCTGAAAAATTTGAATCAGGAACCCATGCCCTGAAATTATGTAGGGAGCGCTGCTTGTAGCTCATATATACTTGAGAGCTTATGAAAATCCGAAGCATTCATCAAAGCCCTAAACCCTGTAGTCCCCCTTAAGTAGAATATAGCTTTGGGTATATTATAATAAGATCCCCGTATACCCCATATTCTATCCCTAAGCCCTAAACCCTAAATACCATATATTCTATCTACTTAAGGGGGGCTATAACCTTGACATGCCGCGGAAGCCGCTTAGCCGGCTGCACCTGAACATGGGGCACTGCACGGCCCCCTTTTTTTGGGATTTGCGTTAACAGTATAGTCCCCCTAAAGTAGATAGAATAGAGAGTATTTAGGGTTTAGGGTTTAGGGCTTAGGGATAGAACATGGGGTAAATGGGGATCTTATTATCATATACCCAAAGCCATATTCTATCTACTTAAGGGGGACTCTAGCCTGAAGGCTGCGCCGGAAGCAAAAGTGGAAGTCGTAGTGGCTGTCCTGAAGACGGTAGACACAATTTGCTTCAACAACCCAAGATGTAAAGCCCTAAGCATCATCCCAAATCATTTGCTGCTAGGAACACTGGCCAAATTCCTCTCAGGTGCAGTGGTGATGAGTCTCCCGACGCAAGCAGGCGCCGATGGATACCTCAAGCCCTGGCTTCCGGTTCAGATTTGTGACTAGTTGTCATCATAGCTCAGATGTAGCTGTGGACCACGAAGAGAATGAAGAAGGGGCAGCAGCATCAGAATGATCAACAGCAGCTGCAGCAGCATCATCAGAATGATCAACACCACCCCAGCAGCAGTAGCAGCAGTAGCAGCAGTAGCAGCACCAGCAGCAGTAGCAGCAGTAGCAGCAGTAGCAGCAGTAGCAGCAGTAGCAGCAGTAGCAGCAGTAGCAGCAGTAGCAGCAGCAGCAGCAGCAGCACCAGCAGCACCCGCCGCTTCAGCAGTGGTACTGATGCCACTCATAGTAAAGTACAAAGCGCAATCGTGGCTGTAATCCATGAGTCCTGAAATCAGGCTTTCCGCTGATGGCAGTGAGCGGTGCGTGTCTTTGTAGAGGTCTCGGAGTCGCATCACACCAGCCAAATCATGATAGTATAGGGGGGTTCTATTGGGATAATGGAAAAGAAAAATGGAAACTAGGATTTAGGGTTGAGGGTTCATTTTTTAGGGCATAGTCCCCCTTAAGTAGATAGAATATGGAGAGGATTCAGAGTCTTTTGGGGATTCGTCGTGTCCGCGCCCGAAAGACAAGTTAGACATTGCGGTACATAGGGGCTTGTTGTGTTTGATCACGAATGTAAGCTTTTCCCCTCCCAGAAGAGTAGACATCCCAAACCAAGGATTATCTAGGGAATCTAGGGCTGTGGTCCGGCTTTTCAAGGGCTTGCGAATTGAAAAGAAGCTGGCAGGTTTGGCCGGGGGGCGTGGTCCGGCAGTGCAAGGTTCTGTCAAGATTTTCAAGAAGTTGGAACATGAAGCTACAAGAAAGAAAATGTCTTGCAGATGCACACGTCAAGGGCCCTAGTGCTCAAATCATGGGGGGCATGTACCAATCACTGTTCAGGCTTCAGTATTTGGTATCTTAGGCCTGAACAGGAGCATATCGGCATGTAGAGCTATGGGGATCGCTAGAATCATCTGGCCAGCGACGACTTGGGACAAAAGCTCCAAGTCAGAATTTGCCGTGGTGGCATCAGGGCCTGTTGGGCTCAACCTGGTCAGGGAAATGCTTCGGGTATTATGCTGATTGCAATCGTTTGGGGTTGGTATCGAGCTGAGGGCTTAGTGCAGGGGAGAGGGGTTTCTCCGCTCACCAAATCGTTAGGGAGCACCGATTTTAGAGGTGGACGGCTTTATGACGAAGATTTTCAGAGCTGAAGGTATGAAGGACAGCACAGGCAGAAAGCTTTCGCCCTAAGCTTATCTTACTGGTTCTTAGTAGGGAATAAGACGATAATGGAATAGAATCCCTATATGATCCGCTGTGTAATATATTCTCTTAACCAGTAAGTTATTTAGGTAAGGATTTGAATCTGATCTAAGAAAATTGGAGTCGCCGACAGCTTTGTACGGAACCAAAAACATCCTACTGAAGAGGGTTACTTTCCGCCAAACTAACATGTCATAGAACCCAAACAAGGTTTCACAAACGATCTGTTCTTCTGGGACGGGGTCTTTTGGCACTCCATGTGAGTTTGGCGGAGGGAAGGTCATAATGGACGATAGAGGGCCCTGCAACGAATTCTGTCCTCTGAAAAGGGGACAATTTTGGGGTTCCATGCTAGTTTTGGGGAGGTCATGGGTTCCTCGCAATGTTGCGAAGTGTCAGTTTCTGCTTTATGCATCTGTTGGATATCAATCTGGTTAGCAGCTTGGAAAAGCTTACGCTACAACCTCAAAAGCACGCTGGCGGACGCATCGGACGCATTGAATGCTGTGGCAATCATTGTTTTAAAAGATGTAATTTGCCCGTTTTCGCATGTGTCAAGTGCAGTTCTGAGTATAAGAATGCCTCGTAGATGCATCTGTTCCCTGACCGCAGCCTCCTGCAGTCTGAAGGACGAGTGGGGGACATAAAGGTTCCTGAGCCACGAGGGAGTTCAGACTCCACGTGGCCTCCAAGTGGCCTGCTACACTCCCCCAAACATACGCGGACCCCTGATACAGATTGCAGACCTAATACAAGGGCCTGTGTTGGATCTTTTGCAGAATAATCTTTAATCCCCAAGAAGGACCCCCCCAAATTCCTATGTATTCCCGGCGGTCCATGTTAGTTTAGGGGAGTATGCTTCGCATGCTCTGCTTGGCTCGAGGCATACCTGAGGTATGCACCTCGTTGCGCTGGAGGCGGCGCGGGCGCGCGCATGTCAAGGTGTCATTTGAGTACGTACAACTTGCAATGGGGAGGCCATAGCCCCCCAACATGAAGCAAGATTGTGGCTATAAGGCTTTATAAGAAGTATATAGTTTCTTCTGGGCTTAGGGCCTAGGGCTTGGGTTGCGGATTTGGAGCTTAAGGTTTAGGGTCGAGCGAACTGGACTACAATTTTTTACAGTTTAGAGCTTCCCTGGACTCGCCAATGTACTTCTGTTTTGGGTTTGGCATGCTTTTTTGGTTAAGATTCCTGAGAGGGCAGCCAGAAAAACAAGACGTGGCAGGGTCAGGGTGTAGGGTGTATCCCCCTTAATAACCCCTATAATAGTCCCCTATGTAATTTTTTACGGGTTCTGAGAAGTCTGGAGAGATTCTCAACGGCCGCCTCGGCGAGTTCCTTTGTCCCACACCGCGGCAGCAAAGACTGCCGCCAAGCGACCAGCTTAAGCAAGTAAGAGCCGCTGTCAAAGAGCTTGATTCTTCATTTAGCATGCTGTGGGTAGATTATCGAAGCTGTACCCATTTTGTTTGAAGCAAAGAGTGACATGTAAGGGTCATGTAGGAAAGGTGCGTTGGAGCTCCCCAGGAAGTGCTGTTTGGCAGCGGTTGCACGAGGCCTCCAAAGGCTTAGTTTCCAGCATTTGCTGCTGGATGGTTCCGCTGCATAGATATGGCATCGGTGCTTTTGAGAGGTACAACTACCGCGAGTTTGCCATTTTACTACTACTCCTACTCCTCCTCCTCGTACCATTACTGTTCATACCAATGAATGCTAATGTCATTTCTACTAGTACGCTTTTGTGGTACCGAAAGGATCTAACAGAAGCCTGTAACTTTAGGGGGAGAGAGGGAGTCTATTCTGGCATCTGGGCATGTGTCAGACTTCAGGTACTTCCGTATGCTTTCCGTAAAGATCACAAACATAGGCGTAATCCTTTTTCTGTGCAATCCTTTTGCGATACATCCCAATCTAACATGTGTATGATCTAACCCATAGAAAGCCCTCATATACTCCTCCGGTACTTGCTATGACATCCTAAGACGGCACCCAAATTTTTGAGACTCCTCGCCTTCAAGCAACTCCAAGCCCCAAATCTAAATCCCAAGCCGCTGATCCTAAACCTTGAGCCCGGTGCGCCCCCATCCTTAAACCGCCCGCAGACCCAAGCCCGAAATCCTTATGGAGCCTATCGGACCTTACAGTCCTAATAAATCCCTCTCTCGCTCTCTCTCTCTCTCTCTCTCTATATATATATATATACAGATTCTTATATCTCGCTATATGTCCTTATCTGGCCCCTAAATTTCCTAAACCTTTAAACCCGGATCCTTGAACCCTCAAGAGCAGCTCGGTGCCTAAGAGGAGGCAGTTGCTGAGAACTTTTCGGGAGTCCAAGGATCGGTTTAGGGGTTACGGTTTAGAGTCCAAGGGTCGTCTAATACTGGGAGGTTCATGGGACTTAGGTGCTTCCAGAGGGAGGTATAGACATACATGTAGGGAAAGGGGTTTCTATGGGAAAGTGGGGACAAAAGCTAGAGCTCGGGGTTTCGTGCTTACTTGGACGCTCAAGGGGCGTAGTAACTAAGCTCACATCTAGGCCCATGGACTCGATCTAAGGAAGCCAGCATTGTACATTGACAGGGCGAGCTACGACCTTTACAGAAAGATGATCACAACCTTCGTCAGAGAAGGCAGCCTGGAATTTCAAAAGTCAGCTGAGATCCACGTCGCCCTGGGTGCCTCTAACGTACCACTCAGTCAAGGAGTAACTACAAGCTGGCCCGGGCTTCCGAAGCAAGTTCCTTGGCTCTAACGAGTGGATGATTATGGACACCTGAGAAAAAATGATGGCGTTGCGTGGCACCAAGTCATGCCTCCAAGCAAGACCCAATCCCCAAGCCGCTATTCATGCTACTATTTCCGCTTCGTCGCCCAAAATAAAAGCAGCATGGTAGATTCGGGGAACGTGCACTATGACTATGAGAAGGGCGGCGTGCTTTGTTAGTGGGGTAGTGGATTATGTTTCAGATTTGACCCTTAGCGCTAGCCACCACGTTGCACGGCAATACGCGGCAACAGCACGCCGTCTGCCGATTATGAAGCTCCGGCCCAGAGACGTCCTCCGGCACATCGAGATACTGTATAGTTATATGGCTGATACAGCATGCGCATGTTATGCTTGGTCTACAGGTTGGTCTGGGTACAGCTTGAACATGCAACCCATGATTTCTCTTCACCAACGCGAACGTAAAAAATCTACTGTGGACCCGAGCCCCAAAGTCTCCATCCCGTACACTTAAACCCGCCAGCTTTCAATGATTCGACCCTTAAGACCCATCATATCCAAAACTTCCTCCACCAGACCAGTAACCCGACAAGGTCCCATAGCCGTTGCCGTTGCCGATGATGCTGATTTCCACTGCTATTAATATGTCCTCCATTGCTACACGTTGGTCTAGCTACGATCGCCTTGCCATCCGCCAGGGTGTGGACACTTCTCAGCCTCGTTGCAAGTGGCCTGATGTTCTTCACCGGCGCACTCGGTTGGGCTTGGAGCTCAGGTGTATGTATGTGGGGATTGGTCTAAATTCNNGGTTCCCATTATAATACGGGGCCCTCTACAAATTTCCCCCATTTTGGGAACAGTAATTTAGGGAAACTACCATGTGCTTTGGGTTCAGGGTCAAGCCTTTCAGGGTCAAACGTTCAGGGTTCACGTCTGTCATTTTTCATCATCGCATGATTCGCATACGTTCTGCAGATATTCGGCCTGGCAGTTCAACCTTCTAAGATTTTGAAGCACCCGGAGTCTACCTAGAGGAATTGAGCTTAATGCCAATCCTCTTAGAACGTGAAGGAGTCATATTAACAGGGACAGGGATTTCCGGAAACTAGAGGTCGGTTTTGCGGGTCATAGCATCTTGGGGTCTGTTTTGGGCCCGTCTTTATGGCAATTCAACAAAAAACGCAACACTGAGTAATATTGGGATGTAGCAGAATCTAGCATATGTGATGGCATCAGCTACGCAGCTTTACATCCCCAACGTGAATCCCCCGCCCAGAAAATGACAGTCTGGAGCGTTTCATGGAAAAAGGGGCTGTAGGTTTTAGACGGCCGTAGGGTTCAGGATATGAGGCAGTCCTTATGCTTATTGGTCGTCAGCAGGGAACTGGCCCT